TTTTATTAATTGATAATTATCTTCAATTAGATCAAAAATATAGTCATATATATATATATATATATATATATATATATATATATATATATATCACAAAATCGGATTAGGGTTGATCTAATATGATTAAGGTAAGTTTCCATAAGATAAATATGAAAAAATCCCGTTTTTGGCTAATCCTGATGCTCGGACTCGCCGAGTACACAAAGGGACTCGCCGAGTCCACTTTGGAACTCGCCGAGTCCATGACTCAGAAACATGAAAATCAAAATTTTCAGTTTAGTTTCATACAATCAAGCAACAATTCAATGAAAACCAAGCTAGGCTCTGAAACCACTGATAGGTTTTAGCCATAAGAACTTTCCTATGTGCGCATGCAAAACCCTAATGCTTGGATCTAGGCTTTCTAATCAAACATGCTTTGAATCCAAGACTTCTAATGACTATTTAGGTGTAATAACAATATTGAAACAGATCTAGAATCATACCTTTGAATTCCTTGTTGATCTTGTTGTCTTGGAGCTTCTAGAGTCATAATTGCCACTCCTCTAATGGCTTACAAACACCAAATAGGAAGGAGGATGATTTGGGAGAGAGGAGAGGGGAGGAATTTGGCCAGAGTCTCTCTACTTTTGATGGGATCCGAATTCTCTATCCCATAGGGTCTATTTATACTTGTAGACTCCTTAAGGTTTACAGCTTAAACCCTAATTGGATAACTTAGAATTTAAGTGATCCTAATCCTTACTTTGGATAACCCTTGGACGAATTTGAAGTTATCCCAAGCCTAAGAATTCGTCCATCCTCTATCCAATAAGGATTTCCAGTCTAAAGTGTAACTATCAAACAATTGATAGTTTATACCCTCTTATTTAATTAATCTCTTTAAGTCACCAAATTAACTCCAATTAATTCTATGACTTATATTAATCAAATAACAATATATTATTCTTTTAATATACTAATAATATTTACTCTCTCTTAATAAATCATCCTATCAAGTTGCTATGGTGAAGGCAACCCAAAAGGACCATGCACAATCGAGTCAAATACTTGGCTAATATAGTTGCAACCTTAGACACTATTCTAATAATAGCCTCGACAACCGAGGCTCCTAACGAGTCACCAACGGACTCCCACCAATCCCTAGCTCGATCCCTCAGACATCCTGCTGCAAATCTCACCTTCAACCCCTCAGGGCAGAAGCTAGTCAACTGTGCAGACTCAATGTCTGCAATCCATCGCCTGGCAGCTATGGGGTCCTTTGCTTTGTGGAAATCTAGCGCACCACTGCCCCTGAAGTCCTTGAAGGCAGTATGTGAGATCCCGACTGGCCAGATGCCATATCGCTCCTGAACGCCCAAAGGCAATCCTCCATCAGCTCAATTATCCCTTCCTTGATCGACCCGAAGATGATGGGGGTCGACTCAAGGATGCCCTGGGTGATCTCTCACGTGATGAAATCGCGTAGCCTTTCATCCACCGGCTCGGAACCTGATCCCGGACCCGATCCCTCCCCTTAACTACTAACTGCTGGTCTAGGGCGTAATACCACCATTCTGAAAACACAACATAATAAACGTCAGGAACACTGATATATCTCGAGGGATCACTACTACCACAAGTTTCCTGATCTCGTCTCAGCTTTCCTTGATTCGAGTATAGATCCTCTGCTTCCAGTAGTACGGGCCCATACTACCTTCCACATCTATCCGTACTTTCCTTAAGTACTGCCTTGACTCCACCAAGTCACTATTACTGCTAATAATCTCTGCTACTCCCATCCTAGGCTTGCCCTAGGGAGTTCTCTGACTATACCCGATCCAGTCCTCACCTGCTGAAAACCTCCTTATGATGCCAATTAGCCATCACCTGAATACCATCACATGCGGCGAGGCTCAGATAATCCTTCAAGTCAATGACTCGTCCCTACAACGGTTAGACTCAGACAAGAGCTGCGCAATAGGGCCAAGTCTAACACTCTAAGATTATTCAACCCTGTTCGCATGTAACGTGATGCACTCGTCTAATGGCTAACTCCCATCACTTAGAGTCCCACAAAGCACAAAGCAAGCAACGTTCATACATAGGAGACTACTCAATCCATTCTATCCTCATAATGGGAAACTGTACAAGCATACAATTCTATGTTCATGATATCAGGCATAACATATACGGGCTATCCTACTGCTGTCTACTCAACCCTAGCATGAAATTTTCATATACTGAAGCACATAAAGCAGGCACATAAGGCATCACTCCTAGATCCTTAGTCCTATTCTAGCATGTTGTTCTACTGAAACAGATAAACATACATAAACTTGTATGGGTACATTGGGGAATACTTACTTGAGCTCGGCCGGTCGCGCACATCACACACTTTGTTCCTTCTTAAGATTTTTTACTTAACCTTTTAGAAAACATTTTTCTTTTTCAAAATCTTGTAATCCCTTGATTTGAGTTCAGATACCCTTGAAGGTGTGTCCGAATCCCTCAAACCAAGGCTCTGATACCAACTTGTAACACCCCAAAAATTATGGACCAAAAATTTCATTTTAATTAAGTGTTTTGCAAAAACGTTAGTAATATTATATCATTCAACCATATAATCTAATAATTTAATAAAACATGTCCCGCGTTTGTAAACCAGAACGTAAATCATAATGATAATTAGAGTACAAATCCCAGAATGTCTCATAGTGCGGAAAAACAAGAACGGGTGTGTGATATGCCGCTACCGCGCCAGCTCCTTCCCCTTGGCTGAAGAGGTACCTGAAACATCAACTAAAAACCATAAGCACGAATCTTAGTGAGTTCCCCAACGTACCGCATACCAAATAACCATATAACATACAATTATTGTCAGGCATATCTGGGTGCCCGACCTACCCCTTCGGTCCTCTCAACCGGATAATGACTAGCATATTTGGGTGCTGGTCTCCCCTTCGGTCCTTTTGACCAGATACTGACTAGAATATCTGGGTGCTGGTTTCCCCTTCTGTCTTTTCGACCGGATACTGACTAGCATATCTGGGTGTTGGTCTCCCCTTCGGTCCTTTCGACCGGATACTGACTAGCATATCTGGGTGCTGGTCTCCCCTTCGGTCCTTTCGACTGGATACTGACTAGCATATCTGGGTGCTGGTCTCCCCTTCGGTCCTTTCGACCGGATACTGACTAGCATATCTGGGTGTTGGTCTCCCCTTTGATCCTTTCGACCGATAACCTGGGGACTATCTCCCCTACTATCGTTAGCACATAGCATCATATCGTACAAACACATAAACATAACACAGGTAGTGGCAATCCTAGATGAATATCACAGAGACAATCATCTAATCATACAATTCCTACTGGTGGGCCGACATTGTGGCCTTAGACTTACCGCTACTAGAGGGTACCTCACCTCGAAGTAGCTGCTGAAAGTCTGCTTGCTGAGCGTCTGGCTGCTGAACCGGAACTCCCGGCTACAATTTCCATAAACACTAAGTCAGATACTGATAACTAATCTTAGGGTAAAACGACTATTTACCCCCCCCCCTCGGTCAAAGTCAACTTCCTGGTTGATCGGACTTGCCGAGTTGGCTTGCCAACTCGCCGAGTCCCTTCCATCTGTTCTGGTTCTACACCCGTTTCTACTCGTCGAGCTTAGCGAAGACTCGACGCGTTCTTCCTCGATGCATACATAGTAAGTCCAAATTTATCTGACTTGCCGAGTTGAAGAACAACTCGTCGAGTCTAAGGTAATCTTCATCAGACTCGCCGAGTTGCTCATCCAACTCGCCGATTCCACGACTATCTTCATAGGACTCGCCGAGTCCATCGTTCTACTCGTCGAGTACATTCAACCCTTTTTCCATACAGTCCTGATTTGAGCCATGTAGCGGCTCCAAACCACAGATCCAGGCTTCCAGGGCATGCTTATCATGTAAAGTTGCAAAGTTTACATGCATGCATAGCTCTAGAGGCTTTAAATGCCCAAACCAAGCTCTTAATGGGTTCTAAGCTCAAGAGGGACCTTAATCACCAATATGACCGAAGCTTAACACTTCAAGAAGGTAATGAGAGTCCAGATCCGAAGTATAACCCAACCATAAGGTTTCTCTTCAAGGATTTGGGGTTTTAGGGTTTAAAAGCAACAATTTAGGGACAAAAAAGATCTAATAGATAAATAACCAAGATGGAAACTTTGTTACCCGAATGGATGACCATAAATGAATGTGTTCTGGATCTAAGTCCCCTTCCTTAACCTCTTCAACTTCTCCCTTCTTCCAGTTGTTCCAAAGTGCACCAAAAGTCCCTTCACAAGGCAAAAAATCACTCAAACTCACCAATGGAGGCTAGGGTTTCGATAAGGATTGCTCTGAGGGTGATGGGGGTTGAGATGGGGCTGAAAGGGTGCTTAAATAGGGTGCAAACCCTAAGGATTAGGGTCCCCTCCTGATTAGCCTACTCACCGAGTCCAGGCGTGGACTCGCCGAGTAGATCACTTAAAGCCCGCATCCACTCGACATCTACTCAACGAGTTAGGGCTACAACTCGCCGAGTAGCTCTTCCCGAAAGAACATTTAATTAAAATAAATACGTACCAGGAATGGGGTGTTACATGGTGTTTATGGCTTGTTTGAGGCATCACACTTGATGTGCTAAGCTCTTGAAATGCCAACAACTACAAACTACAAATAAGAGGTATTCTTCTCACTAGTTTTATGTTTCATGTACCATATTTGTATGCTAGATAGGTTTCATACTTTGGATAATTTTTTTGTTGCATGTATAACTAGAGAAAACTTAAATCCAAAACATTAAAGTTGTATGTGCACTGTAGGAATGTTATAGTACTTAAAACCTAACAATTCTATCATAAAAATTTACTTAAATAAATCAATTGAACATCAAATTAATCACCATCATCAAATTTATGGTTCAAAGTCAAACCTTAGGTTTGATTTCTAGGGAGAAAATGAGATGTGTGTACCTTAATTCACTAATTTTCTCCAAATATGAACCTTAGTGAGTGGGTGCTTCCCTTTCTCCAAAAGGTGATTGTCTTTTGACGGGGGAGAGATTAACCTAACTAGCTTTCATCTTTCATTATTGGCATAATAGTTCCCCACTCTATAATTTTTCTCAAATTGATACCATTTAACTAAGTCACTTAGAGAACTTCTATCTTTCACGCTCTGACCCTAATATTTCTTATTTTTAACTAATTAGTTATTAACTAAGTTAACACTAGTCTTCAAGTTTGCTATTTGGCAAAACTAGTCCTCCATTTATTTTCTCCTTAACTTTTGAAGTCTAAATTAATTCTATTTCTAAATTCCTGTTTTAAATCTAGAACCTTTTAATTAAATATATTATTTTAATTTATTTTCCTTTTTATAGTTTATTTATTTATCTTATTTAATTAATTTAAATCGAAAAATTTTCTAGCTCCAAATTTAGAATGTTATAAAATCATAAAACCACCAGGGCACAACTGTATATATAATTATGTACAACTTTATATATAATTATGTAGTTTGGATCTTCTGTATATGTGATTTTTTATTTTATATTAAGATTGTGGCATGGTTTATCTATTTTATTAGTATGGTTGCTTATTGTAAATTATTGTTTTTTATTTATTTTCATATTTAAATAAATATTTTATTTTGTAAATTAAAATAATTATTTTTTACATTTTTAATAACTTAAAAAAGTAATCTTATATCATATTTATATAATAAAAATTGGTTTGTGTTAAGTTGTTAAGAATTAAAAAGCATATCCAACCCACTTAAAACATTAATTTTTTATTCTATTTTATATAAATGTAAATGGATAATATTATTCTAAATATGGGTAATAATATTCATTTACATGTGAAATTTTTAGTTTTCAGTTACATCTATATATTTTATGGTTATTTTAAATTACTACTTATAATTTAAATATGATAATAATATTCACAACATCATGCTATTTTTAAACGTGTTTAATTAATCAAAAGTATAAAATTTAATCATGCTATTTTTAAACGTGTTTAATTAATCAAAAGTATAAAATTTATCCTCTTTGTATTGAATCCAAAAATAAATAAATAAATAAATATGTTTTAAAAATTTTAAAAACGATTACAAGCATTTCTCAAATAAATTATTTTGTAACAATTTACGATAATATAATTATAATTATCGTAATAAAAATATATTACATGTATGTTAACAACCAGCTAATTAAATGATATTTTTAAAAATCTATATAAGTAAAAAAACATTAATATATATTTTTTGTTTAAAAGATTTAGTAAGATTAGATAAAGAGTATTTGAATTATTATTATTATTATTATTATTATTATTAATATTAATATTAATATTATTATTATTATTATTATTATTATTATTATTAATTTGGTGTAGATGGATTTAGTAATATTCACCACTACCTCCCTACAAATGTATTTGTGTATGAGTACAATTCTGTTTTGTTGATTTTAGGACATGTCTTTAAATTAGGTTTTGAGTAGCGAACGTTAAAAGCCGTCAATAGCGACCAAACAAGCCACCAGCAGCACAAGCCCTAGTTCTTGATGCCGCTTATATACCTCATCTCTACACGCTCTCTTTAATTCTCCCTAATTTTCACTGCTTGCAAATCCAGTTTTCCCCTGTTTCCTGTTTCCTCATCGACAGATCAGATCTCTCTGTTAGGTACGTACGACTGTTCTTCGTCGAAATCAGGTTTTCGATTGATGCGTTTGAACTTGTTTATAGATCTCTCTATGATTACTGATAGTTTTGGGTCTTTTTCAAATTTATGTTTCCAATTGATGAATTTGGACGTTGTGTAAATACATTTTTGTTGATTGCTCGTCCTAGATCGTTGTTTCATGTTGTTTGATGATTTGCGTTGATTGTAAGTGTCGATATTATCTGTGCTGGTGAAGATCCAGATTTAGTTTTGATTTTATCTTTTTGTTTTATATAATTTTGCAAAATAAAATATAATGGCAGTTTAATATAACGATGGAAGCCATGGATAAAATTGTTGCAATCGCTAGTTAGAAACTACATGTCTACATTGTTTATCTTCACAAAATTTATGCTTTTTTCTATGACAAAAGTCCAAATACGCTGGTTTTAAAAACCTTGTCTGATGATTTAGGGTTACCAGTTAATGAAAGCCTCCAAACCTCTTAAATAAAAGAATTAACCATTATGTTTTAACGAGTGAGTAGCATGTAAAACCTCTGTATGTGACACATTTTTTAAACATTTAAATATAATGCAACATCAAACACTACACTGATAGAAAAATCTGAACACTTCTCAAGACTTTGGTAACATTTACATGTTATGTTTTTCTTTTGTTTACATTCTTTGTAACATACATAGTCGTGTGATTTCATTTGTCCAACAAAATCCAAAATCCTTTGACAAATCTAATCTTGTTTTAAACAAGGTGAATCTAAAAAAGGAAAAAAAAGATAATTTGATATTTACTAAATTTCTTTCCTTCCAACAGTTTTGAATCACTTTCATCATGTTTGGGCGTGTTCCAAAGAAGAGTGATAATACAAAGTATTATGAAGTTCTTGGGGTCCCACAAACTGCCACTCCAGATGAACTAAAGAAGGCATACAGAAAGGCTGCAATAAAGAATCATCCTGACAAAGGTGGTGACCCTGAGAAGGTAAATTTTTAATAAATTATGTTTTATATTCTTTTGTTTTCTTTCCGAACATTTTTTTTATAACTTATTGAGTTTTGAAAAAGCCAATAAGTCAGTAAGTTGTTTTTAAATGAAATCCCAAACACCCTCTTAAATCCACTAAATTTTGACAACATTTTCTTTTAAACCTCAAAAATGTCAAAAACATAATGTCTTTTTATGTAATTTAACCTTTTTTTTTTGTTTCTAAAACATGGAAAATTTTCAGTTCAAGGAATTGTCACAAGCATATGAAGTTCTTAGTGATCCAGAAAAAAGAGAGATTTATGATGAATATGGTGAAGATGCTTTGAAAGAGGGTATGGGAGGTGGCGGCAGTTCATCTGAGAGCCCATTTGATATCTTTGAGCAGTTTTTTGGTGGTGGTGGTGGTTTTGGTGGTGGATTTGGTGGTCAGTTTTCTTTTATTTCCTTCTTCTTCTTTATATATATATATATATATATATATATATATATATATATTAATTACTTTCTTTTATTTGTTAATGAAAGCATTTTACTTTCATCCCTTTCTATTACATCGTTGTATTCTCAATTTTTTTTCTCTTTTTAATATATCTAACTCTGAAAAATCTACCCAATTATAGCATTGTAATTTCAATTTTTTTTTATTACTATCTTAACACATTGTATTTTGAAGAATCTACTGAATTACAGCATTGGATTTACAAGTTATTTCTTATTAAGGATATTGTGCTTTAAATAATCTTCTCAGTTATTGAAGTGGAAAAGACTTTGTTTTTGGATGATATTTACTATAATTCGGACGAATTTTCATTTATTTGTTTATTATATAGCATCTAACTTCATTTTTTTGAGTAAATTACAAGAATGGTCCCTATGGTTTGGGGCAATTTGCATGTTTGGTCCCTAACTTATTTTTTAACTCGAAAGGTCCCTACAGTTTGTTTAAATAGGGTAGGGTAGGTAATGTGAGGTGAGGTGGAAGTGGGGTTGGGGTGTGTTTATTTAAATAAATTAAAAAATCAAGGGCAAAATAGTCTTTTTAGCAGGGACCAAGCACGCAACAAAAACAAACTTTAGGAACCTTCCAAGTTAAAAAAATAAGATAGGGACCAAACGTGCAAATTACCCCAAACCATAGGGACCATTCATGTAATTTACTTTCTTTTCTGTTAAAATTTTCCTATTTGACTATAAAAAACCAACCCAATTATAGCATAGCACTTTCAATTGCTTTCTTGTAAGGATATTATGCTTTGAAAAGTCTATTCAGTTATATGAGTGAAAATTTATTTGTTTTTTTTAATGATATTGCTATAATTGGGTAGAACTTTCAAAAAAAAAAAAAACAAATTCATCACTAATTTTTTTTACTCTGAATAATATATTATTTATAGGTGGAGGTAGTTCAAGAAGTAGGAAGAAGCAAGGAGAAGATGTGAAACAAGTTCTAAAGGTCTCTTTAGAAGAAGTGTATAATGGTGTTACAAAGAAACTCTCCCTTTCAAGGAATATCTTGTGCAAAAAGTGTAAAGGGTATGTATGTCATAATTATTCTATTTTTTATTTTTTAAAATATTTGTGTAAATTTAGTTTCATCGTTGAAACTATGTAAAAACAGGTCAGTTTGGGTTATATTTTATCTTTAATGATTCAAACGAGTAAAGTAAAAAAATATTAGCTGAAGAGTAAATTTTAATGGTCCCCACCGAATATTTTATATATTTTTTAAAATATATAAAATTATATTTGGGCTATATGTACAAAAGTCCCATTATTTTGATAAAATCCTAATTTTTCTTTTTGTACAGAAAAGTCCCGATTATTTAATGTCGTTTCCTGTTAAAATAAAAATAACTACTTTTTAGTTAATTTGGGCAAAATATTAAATAATCCGGACATTTGTATTTAATTTTTTTTCGGACTTTATTAAATTTTTTCCCAAAATAATGAGACTTTTCAGCATAAAACTCAATTATATTTTAAGGTAAATTTCAATAAATTATATTTTATGTATTGTTTTAAACTATTTGTATAAATTTTGCAATGGGGTCAACTGTAATTTGTGAATTGCAAAATTGCTTTATTAATGGTCCCCACCAAAAAACATAATATAATCATGGGTTAATTGTGTTTTTTTCCAAATTAAACCTCAAATTTTTTTTGCCTAAAAAAGACCTTGTATTTTTTTATTTTTTCCGATCTTGACCCTTTTAGTCATATTTTTCATTTTTTTTTAAATGTGAAGTTTTTTTCGAGAAAAACTAAAAAAGTTGAGGGTTTATTATGGAAGCATTTAGAAGGTGGAGGGCTTTTCCGAAAAAATGAAAAAAATCAGGCAAAAAATAATTTTGAGGGTTAATCTGGGAGTAAACACAAAATATAAGGTCTATTTTGAGATTAACCTATAATAATTTAGAAAAATAAAAAAAAGAAAATCATATTTTGCAATTACATTGCATTTCTCAAATACTTTCTTGTAGCCATTTGTCAGTTACTGTAATTTTGCCATCGACCCATTTTGCTCAATTTGTGAACATTCTTTACTTTAAGACATTATTCATATTTATTAAATTAAATTAATTAAGAATTTAATTTAATATATATATATATATATTTCAGGAAAGGTTCGAAAAGTGGTGCTTCATCAAGATGCTTTGGATGTCAAGGATCTGGAATGAGGGTGACAACCAGGCAAATTGGCCCAGGAATGATCCAACAAATGCAACATGTTTGTCCTGAATGTAGAGGCTCTGGTAATGTTATTAAAAAAATATATCTTCTTATTAAAACATATATTTTTTTTTTTTTTAATTTTGTAAATTTAATAGGAGAATCGATAAGTGAGAGAGATAGATGCCAACAGTGTAAAGGAAAGAAGGTGACACAGGAGAAGCGAGTGCTTGAAGTTCATGTTGAAAAAGGAATGCAAAATGGTCAAAAGATTCTTTTTCAGGGTCAAGCTGATGAAGCTGTAAGTAAATTTACACCCTTTCTTTTCTTTTTTTTTTTTTTTTTTTTTTTTTTTTTTCTTTTTTAAAAAAAAATATAAAAAACAACTTTCAATGCTATAATTAGATACGTTTTTCAAAGTATTATCTTAACTGAAGGCCAAATGGTAAAAAGTTAGGGATTATTTTCATAATCCTCATTTCCTTTACTTTTTTTTTTCATTATTGTTGACTTGATAAATGATGTTTTAAAAATAGTTGAGAAAATAAAGTCACAATTGTGTAAATTGAAGGAAATAATAAATGATGTTTTTTTCTTCTTCTGCATCAAGTAAAAAACATCCAATATATAAAAACATCTTTTTTTTTGTCCCATTATTTGCTCTCTGGATAAAGTGCTCTATTTTAAATAAGTAAATTGAGAAAATGACACAGTGGAAATACATGTAAAGAAAAAAAAATCAACAAGGGCAAATTTGTAAAAAAAGAAATTAGGACTTGGGAAAGCCATTTATTCTGGCATTAAATAGAAAAGGAATATAACTAACTGGTTGTTTTAAAATTGTTATTATACTTGTAATTTGTTTTTTTTTTTTTGAAAAGTAAGGGCAAAATGGTCATTTAGTCTAACAAATGAAGATATGGTATTTGCCTTGTAACCAACTGGTTGTTTCTTAATGACATTAAAATTGTTATTATTATACATGATTAATATTTTGAAATTTGTTTGTTTTTGGAAAGAGTAAGGGCAAAATGGTCATTTAGTATTAACCAATGAAATCTATATGTTTCTGTTTTGTAGCCTGATACAGTTACAGGAGACATTGTATTCATTGTGCAACTGAAAGAACACCCAAAATTCAAGAGAAAACAAGACGATCTTTATGTGGAACACAATGTCACCTTAACTGAAGCTCTTTGTGGCTTTCAATTTGTTCTCACTCATCTCGATGGAAGACAACTTCTCATCAAAACTAACCCTGGACAAGTCATTAAACCTGGTATTTTATTTTTTTATTTTTTTTAATTACCTAATTACCCTTTTCTTTTTCTTTTTTTTTTAAAAAAACTTTCTTTCTAGCAAAAGTCCGGCTTTTGTTATGGTCAAATCAAACACCCGTTTCTTAAATTTCATCACTAATCTTTTCCATAAAAAAGTTAGAATCTTGACCCTTTTTTCATTTATTATTTTTATGGTAATTGTTAGAAAGGTATTAATTATAAAGCCGATTTTTATGTGAAAATAAGTCAATTTGGATTTATACTGTGTTGCAAAAGGGTCAAATAGGTAAAATAAAAAAAGTGTTAATCTCACAAAAGACCTCATATATTATTTTTTTATGAATTAAAACTAAACTTTATTTTTTTTTTCCTTGTATTTTTTCATTTTTCCCGAAACCCCCCTCAACTTTGCCTTTTTCTCCGAAAAAAATCCCAACCTTCTAATTGTTTCTGAAAAAAACTTCAGACTTTTTAGTTTTTTCTTAAAAAAACTTCACGTTTTACAAGTTTTTTCTGGAAAAAGTGACTAAAAGGGCCAGATTGAATAAAATTAAAAAATACAAGGTCCGAAAAAAAATTAAATAAAAGTTGAGGTTTATTCCGAAAAACACACAAAAATATTCATACAATAAATCCAAGAGAAAAAAACAAGATGACTTTTATTGCATTATTCAAATAATTTAATTGATTACAGATCAATACAAAGGAATCAACGACGAGGGTATGCCACAATACCAAAGACCATTCATGAAGGGCAAATTAGTAATTCACTTCAACGTAACCTTCCCTGAACCGGGGGCACTAACACCCGAAAAATGCAAAATTCTTGAGACGATTTTACCCTCAAGCACAAGCTCATCTTCAATGTCAGTGGATGAATGTGAAGAGACGATTTTACATGATGTAAATATGGAAGAAGAAATGAGGAGAAAAGAACATCAGAGACAACAAGAAGCTTATGATGATGATGATGACGATGAACCTGGAATGCAACGTGTTGGGTGTAACCAGCAATAAAAAATAATATTTCACCGTTTTGGAGAGGATTATTATTTATATGATATGATATTTTGAAGTTTTTTTTTTTTTTTTGACTGGCTGATATTATTATATTTTTTGTTTTTAGGGTTTTTATGCATTGTTATGAGATTTGAATCGGGTTTAAGGTGTTATGTTATATTTTGATGATTATGGTATTTGTTTGTTTCGTTATATAATACTTGCTAGCAAAGTTGTTGAAAATGTGATATCCTCTTAGGATTGTTTTTGGGTGCGATTGTAAAATTGTTAGAAGGTTTTTTGTTCATTTTTTAAAAAAAAAAATTATAATATTTTGTCATATGTAAAGTAAGTGAATTTAATATTAATATTATATAACTCCTTTGAAATTGCTGTTAAATTATTATATGGTACATAAACGGTCTTTGGTTCCATATGGTTTTGCGGTTTTGTTATGGTTTTAGTCTTTGTTTGACATGATATGTTAACATAATGAGATTTGAATTGGTTTTAAGGTGTCAATGTTATATTCAATGATGATGATATTTCTTTTATTTTGTTATTAGGTATCCATATATTACATGAGTATAATTAAAAAAAACAAATATAAAATTTTAACAATTTGAAAAAATTTGAAAATTTTGAATTTATAAGAAAAATTTGAATTATTAAAATTATTGAGAAATTTTTTCTAATAAATATTTTACATATATATTATCTTACATATTAAATGTTGAATTTTAATTTAATAATAAACTATCTTAAAAATCTAGAAAATACCATGTATTAAAATGAGTGAGAAGATGACAAGTGACAAAAAAAACCTTCATTTATAAGGAGGATAACATTACTTGCAAGGTTGTTAAAATTGTGATGCTAATCATAGGATCGATTCTAAGGTTGTTTTTGGATAGGATTAGAGGGTATGATCCTAAGGTAAGACGTTTTTATTCGTTAAAAAAATTATAATAATTTGTCATAAAGTAACTAAGTGAATCGAATGTTAATTCTATAAAAGTCATTTAAGATAGTTTATTATTAAAGTATTATATGGTATATAAATCTTTTTTAAGGTTTGGGTATATTTCAAGTTTGCGTTTATATTTTTATATAAAGCGGACAATGAATATCGATATGGTTTGGTTTTGTTATCGTTCTAGACCATGTATGACATTAAATGTTTATCTTCCCAATATGTATTTATTTTTACTTAGATCGGGTTTGGATTGGAGTGGACAAGATTTGTTACAAAAGGAAAAAGTTATATGAAAGATTGATAAGAGCTTTAATTTTTTTTTATACATATTTACAATAATTGAAAATTCACAGAACAAAGACTAAGCAGATAAATCTGCATCAGGCAGTTTCTGAGGCTTCTTATTCCAAATCATTACTTCATCACATCAGCCAATCAACAGGAATGTGAACGGCACCAGCAACATGGAATCGTTGCATTTCATATCAAAAATGTCTGTAGCATTCAATCCAATCTTAGGCCCTGTTTGATTTCTTGCTGACCCAGACCAGTCAGACCCTTTTGGCTGACTCGGTCAGATCAATGTGTTTGATACCTCCATATGATGCGTCTTACTCCGTTACTCGGTCCTTGAACGTCTTACCGGGTCATCTCAAAAAACTCGCTGGCTGAAACAGATGAGCATCGTTCCCTTTTTTGCCCTTTTCTTTCTCACACGTTCCTTCACCTTGCCCACCTTCGACGTTTGCAAAGGCAAATAGATATCAAAAACTTGTATCTTCCGGTACGTCTCTCCACAACGCGTCTTCAATCTCTTCTTCACCCATCCTCCCGCCAGCCATGTTCGCCGCCTCCGAATCAAGCAACCCCGCCGACCTCCGCCCGAAGCTGACCATTCAGGTATATGCTGTGATATTTTATGAAGAGACCTAATCTCCATGTGAAATTGTGCAATTTAAAATTTGAGTTCTTGGTCGATGGTGTTGATATTTTAATTAAAATTGAAACTTCCTGAAGTATTTAGAATTTATCTTCGAATTTGTTTTAATGACCTGGAATTCGATGTTGAAGGAGGATTGATTGTTTTGATGAAATTTTTGCAGGATAGTTTCATTAGATTTCCTGACAACATGTTAAGTTATTTGGGTGTTTGAACTGATTCAAATGGAATACTGATTTGGTGTTTGGTGGATGCTACTAACCAGAGAGTTATTTGTCTGTAAAAGTTGATTGCTTTTAAACTCATTTTTGATCCATTGGAATTAGTTGATCTAGACTAGTTCATTCATTTTTATGTCTGTGCAGATTTCTAATTTTAATTAAATTGAACTAAATACAGTTGGGAAATCTTTGGTAGTAGAAGGGCATTTTGGGTAATTTATGTTTTATATATGTTAACAGGTTTAGCCTAATGAGGGGGGAAATCATTTTTTTTGAAATATGCACTTGTATCTTGTGAATAAGAACAATATGTGATATGGTTGCTGTTGCCAAAATTATGAAGGCTACATCAGCTCTTCCTTCCCTTGATCACACTTCCTATTGGGCTGATGAAAGGTTTGTATTTTTGTTCCCTATTGGAAACTATTTGAGTTAAATACAAAAAAAAATTTATAGATTGATTTATATTGTATATTTTCAGTGGATTCAAAGATCTATATGACTGGCAACATTTTATAGAAACCTTAAAAGAAGATGTGCACATAGTGGTGTATGTATATGTTGAATTTTGTTGGATGGATTTTTGTTTCAAGCAATGTGATAAAGATAGAAAACTATGGATTTTTGTTTCAATAAACAATGATGTTTGTATATGTTGAATTTTGTTTACTGTGGTTTTTTTCCAATCGTTTTCCAGTATGTATATACATTTGGATTGATTTTTGTTTCAATCAATGTGATAGAGACAGAGATAGAAAACTATGTTGAATTTTGTTTGGCTTGATATAATTGATAAATATAGTTGACACTTTATTGATAGAAAATTGTTTCATGTTTAATATTATGTTAGAGCAGGAGGGTACAATTGTCATTTTTTATCAGTTAGTATATTCAGTTAGATGTACAATCAAACAACAATGTTTCTTTCTCATTCAGGATTTCTTACTCAGACAGACCTTTCCCAATCAGCACTTTCTCAGTCAGAAACTATCAAACGGGGCCTTAGTGTCCCACTTTCTTACTTCTGCATGACATTCACATGAGTATGAAACCAGAAAGTAGAGGTGCACTACATTTATCCATGTCTTCGACAATAACGACTTGGTGCTTATCAAGTGTTTTAATTTTGTATATAAGAGGTAAAAGTAGAATATAATTATATGTTGAAGCTGAAAACATCCTATTTTTTCAAGGGTTTATGCCATAATTCAACAATAAACTAATTTTGTATATTATGCCAAACTATTTATTCAACTATAAGAATACCAAAGGATTTCAACTTGAGGCAATACCTACTTTACACCATAGAGGAATCTTAGTTATTTCCTCACCCAAGTCATGTAACCTTAGGGCATTGCAAGATGGAGAAGGGAAACAGATCTTCAAAGACAAGAATTATTGAGAATTATAAAAAACATGGAGAAGAAAAAGACCTTAGTGTTATATTGAAAGTTGTGTAGTTAAAAGTGTCACTCTTAGGATTTGCCTGGTCTTGACAAACACTTTCTTTTAAAGCGCTAAAATTTGTTTCTTTACTATGCATGCAAAAGAAAATTAGATATGTTTACATGTAACATATTTAGTAGTATATCTTAATTTGATTAAAAATGGTGATGTAGGCAAGAACATTACAAAAATGGACTCATTAAGGAATAGTTTCAGAAATAGTTCCTTTGATAGGAAACTATCACACAAAAGGTCCTTATGGCAGGAAAATGTTTCAAAGATGGTCCTTGTGACATGGTAAATGTTCATTGTGGCAGGAAATAGCTACAAAATCCGTGGCAAGAAAAGACGACATAAATGGTGTTTTTAAGAAACTATTACATAAATGGTCATTGGGGCACAATAACTATTACAACTACACACACATCAATATGTGGATGATAAGCAATATCGAAACATAGTTTTGTGCCTATTTCGTTGTGTAAACTCTTCCAAAATCGAGAAGTAAAACGAATGTCACGGTTTGACACAATAGTCAAGGGAACACCATGAACTTTCACCATCTCTTTCACTTACACTTTGGCAAGTTTTTCCGTAGACCATTGCTCATTGGCTACTATGAAATGCGCACATCGATCCACAATCAGCTAAATCATGTCGTGACCTCCCTTAGTTCTGGGTAACTTAGTCATAAAATCCATAGCGATGCCTTCCTACTTATCCATGGGTACCGGTAAAGGTTCCAAAGTCTCATATGGTTTCTGATGTTGTGCTTTAACTTTTGCGCAAGTCACACACTTAGCCATATACTTAGCGACGTCGAGCTTCATCGTTGACCACCAGTATTATGGTTTCAAATCCATATACATATTGGTGCTACATGGATGAATATAGTTCATGGTTTTGTGAGATTCTTCCATTAAAAGATCCTTTATACCTCCCATCTTTGGCACAAAAATTCTGTTTTGGAATACCTTTAATCCTTTGTTATTTGTACTGAACACTAACGTTTTTACCAAAAATTCTACCTTTCGGTTAACTCCTTCTAAAGCTTTGTAACACCCATAATCAGAAAGACCAAGAAAGGAAAGGAAAACCCTAAGTCAAAGGGGTCAACTCGTCGAGTCCAGGGTGGAACTCGACGAGTCCGAGCGGGATCCAGGTCGAAGAGTAAGTGACCGACTCAACGAGTCGGAAAGTGGACTCGGCGAGTCCGGTCTGGATTGGGAAACCCTAAGTTCGGGACTTGGTGCCTATTTAAACATCTCATTCTCTTCCCTAGGGTTCATATACAGTGTCTCTCACCCAGAATACCGAACCCTAGCCACCATATCCATTTTGAGCAAGATCTAGCCTTGGTGAAGAGATTTGAAGCTTGGAAGAGAAGGAGGTTCATAGTGGTGCAAGAGGAAGCCTTGGATACATAGTTGGTGTGACTTTACAGATCCTTTGAGGTAATAAGATGACCTTATTGCATTTAGATCTATCTTATGGTCGAGATTTGGGCATTTTGAGTATGGAGAAGGTTTATTCCGAGTTTGGAG